CCAGGTATAAAGAACTGTGATCCTAAAGCTCCTCTCATGATGTACATCTCCAAGATGGTGCCAACCACCGACAAGGGTAGATTCTATGCTTTTGGTCGTGTCTTCTCTGGTGTCGTTTCTACAGGGCAGAAGGTGCGCATCATGGGCCCAAACTTCACACCAGGAAAAAAGGAGGACTTGTACTTAAAGCCAATCCAAAGGTTTGCTGCTGTCAATTACATATACATCCTCAACAAATCATCCTCAACTGATTTGATGATCATTACCCTTATTAACATGTTGATCATGCTATATCCTCCTCAGAACTATCTTAATGATGGGTCGCTACGTAGAACCCATTGAAGATGTGCCATGTGGGAACATTGTTGGTTTGGTTGGGGTCGATCAGTTCCTGGTGAAGACTGGCACCATTACCACTTTTGAAAATGCTCACAACATGCGTGTTATGAAGTTCAGCGTTAGTCCTGTGGTGAGAGTTGCTGTGGAGGCCAAGAACCCAGCTGATCTGCCAAAGCTGGTGGAGGGCCTTAAACGTCTGGCCAAGTCGGATCCCATGGTTCAGGTGAATGTCTTAGCAAGGTAATAAAATAGTATAAACAAAATTCAGTCTTTACAAAAATAAACACTAGTTTCTTCTCCTAGTGTATCATTGAAGAGTCTGGTGAGCACATTGTGGCAGGTGCTGGAGAGCTTCATCTGGAGATTTGCCTAAAAGACCTCGAGGAAGATCATGCCTGCATCCCTTTGAAGGTAGTGCTTGGGTGATAATATGTTACAGATTACAAGGTTACAGATATTTTTAACGTTTTTCCACTAACAGCTTGAGGCCATTTTTTGCAGAAATCAGACCCAGTTGTGTCATATCGCGAAACCGTCAGCGACGAATCAGACCAGGTTTGCTTGTCCAAGTCTCCCAACAAGCACAATCGTCTGTACATGAAATCTCGGCCCTTCCCAGATGGCCTGGCTGAGGACATCGACAAGGGTGACGTGACCGCTCGGCAGGAGCTCAAACAGAGAGCTCGCTACCTGGCTGAGAAATACGAGTGGGAGGTCGCTGAGGCCCGTAAGATTTGGTGCTTTGGACCAGATGGCACAGGGCCCAACATCCTTATGGATATCACAAAGGGAGTTCAGTATCTGAATGAGATAAAGGACAGCGTAGTGGCTGGTTTTCAGTGGGCAACCAAAGAAGTGAGTAAAGACAGCTTAAAGGGGTCATATGATGCGATTTCAATTTTTCCTTTCTCTTTGGAGTGTTACAAGCTCTTGGTGCATAAAGAAGATCTGTAAAGTTGCAAAGACTAAAGTCTCAAATCCAAAGAGATATTCTTTATAAAAGTTAAGAGTTAACCACGCCTACCTAAAACGGCTCGTTCTAACACGCCCCCACATATCTACCTCACTATGTGGGAAGATTTGCATAACGCCACCCAAATGTTCACGCAAAGAA